TTCTTCTTTCTTCCAAATTCTCCAAATTTTTGTAGGGAGTTCCGCGTGGTTGAAACCTTTCATTAACTGTTAGCCTTTGCGAGAGTGAAATATACAGAAGTGAAAAGACGAACAAAAGGATCTGGAAAAGGGAAAAAAAGAATTTTTTTGAATTTTTTTGAACTCAAAAAAATCGAAAAAAATGCTAAAGAAATTGATTTTTGATTTAATTTTTATTTCATATATTTACATTAAAAATGCAAAAATAAACAAACATTCGACTAAAAATGTCGTAAAAATTTTTTTCTTAAAAAGTGAAGTTTAATAGTAAAAATGCTGTGATTTAAAGGTGGTAGTTTTGTTTCTAAACCGATTTTGATAAATATAAAGTTACTCAAAAAGCCTCGAAAAAATGAGAAGTCCAAGTATGGGAAAATGAGACGGACAAGTCTGTCCTACAAATCGAGGATCAATCGAGGACTTATTTCCCCGCTAGAAAGACACTTCTTTTTTTCGAAGCCTTCCGAATGCCCTAACATTTGTAAAAAATCAGTTGAGGATAAAAAAAGTGTCCGAGCTGAAAACGGTCGAGACCGGGCTCATCCGATAGAGAATGTGCCCTTTCTAGCTCGAACACCTCGCAACCTTCCCTAGTTAAAATTAAAATATCAAGTCCCAAAGGAACTTATAAATAAAATTGGCCTTATATTTTTCTTAAAAATTGTTCTAAAAAATTTTAAAAATTTGATAAAAAATTTTGGCTTAAAAAATATAAAAGTCCCCTTCCCAACTACTAAAAAAGCCCAAAAAAATAAAGAAAAAAAATAAACAAAACAAACCGATGAAGCAAAAATAGCACCAGATGCACGTCGTAAATGTCGACGCAATTTAACCATAAAACTCATCTTTTATTATTCAAAAAAAATTTTGTAGACAAATAAATAATAAAAATTTTTGTTGTTTTTTGAAAGAAATAAAGGTAGAAAGAAAGAAGAAAAATATTCTTTATGCAATTCTTTTTAAATAAAAGTTGAAATAATTTTTTTTAAAAATAAATTCTTCACATGTTGTTCATTTTGCTGAAAAATAAGAAAATTTATTTAAAAAATTTTTTTCCCAAAATTTGGTTAAATTTTTAATTAAGTTGTCTTAAAAAAATAAAAGTTTAAAAAATAAGGGTTTTTTGAATTTTGTCATGGCCACAAAAATAGTGGCAACAAGTCTCCCTCACAATACCATGTCTTTATCAACTAGATAGACATAACACCATAATAATTAATTTGGGGAGAAATTAGGGAGAAGATTAAAAGGGGACAACAGATAAAATTCAAAATTACCAGAAAATAAATTCCTAAAAAAATTTTTTATTTTTTGAGAAAAATGTTTGATTTTCTCAAAAATTACTTAAACAGAAAAATAATAAAAATAATCAAATACCCAACCTAAATAAAATTCGTTTTTAAAAATTAAAAAAAAATATAAACTACAAAATACCCTATCAAAATTACCCAAAATTTATTTAGAAAATTTAACGTGGCAAATAAAAAGATTAAAATTAAAAAAATAAAAAAGCGTACCGAAAAATAGAGAAAAAAAAACAAAAAATTGAGTAAATCTTTTTCATTCAATAAACTTTTCAAAATATCTAAAAATAAAAATTTTCTCAAAATTCCCAAAAAATTTCTTAAAAGCCTAAAATTTCTAATAGAATGCCCAGACATTCTATTTCTCAATCACCTTTAAAGGTGCCGTTCTATTAGAGAGGGGCTTTCCATTAGAAAGGACATTCTATTGGAGGTCATTCAACTTCCAAAAGGGGCGTTCTATTAGAGAGGGGCGTTCTATTAGAGAGGGGCGTTTTATTAAAAGGGGGGGCACTATTTTAGAGATTTAAGGGAGCTTAAAAACGTTTTTATTTCAATAAAAAAATACTAAAATTATTTCTCCAAATAAAAGCATTCAAAAAAATGCTCTCGTTCATATTTGTATATTCATATAAAACAGTGATAATAAAATTGCTCACTGTACAAACATTTTTTTTTCAGAAAAAATTCTTTTTATAGAAGAATTATTTTTGGAATTAAAAAAAAAGTTTTTTTAAAGCAAACAAACTGTTTAAAATTTTGTGGCGTTTTGGGTCTGTGGCAAAATGTCCCCGTGACGAAAAATTTAATCTAACCTTGGGAGAGATTGTCTCTCTTCATTTTGTGCAGTCTCTAACCGATGATTTTTATTTTTGTCACAGCTTCTAATTTTTTCCAATTTTCAGATTTAATTTGTCGTTTATTTTATTTTTCTACTTAAAAATGTCAACACCTTCTAGACGTCGTTTAATGCGAGATTTTAAAAAATTACAGGTTCCCCCCAGCAATTTTTTGTTTAAAAATTTAAAAAAAAATTTTAATTTTAGGATGACCCTCCTGCTGGTGTTAGCGGTGCACCTACAGAGGTTTTTCTCTTTAAAATAATTATTCAATCAACTTTTAGGAGTCAATAATGCATTGGGAAGCTGTCATTTTTGGACCACAAGATACTCCTTTTGAGGATGGGACTTTTAAGCTTTCGCTTGAATTTTCTGAAGAATACCCAAATAAACCGCCACAAGTCAAGTTTGTTTCGAAAATGTTTCATCCTAATGTATATGCTGATGGAAGTATTTGTTTGGATATTTTACAGGTTTTATTTAAATTTGGGGGGAAATTCTGGTCGAAAAAGTCTTTCTACCCAAACGACACTAACCTTCCCTCTTGAGAAAATATTTATTTTCTTGTTAACCTAATAATCAACGATAAGGTGCCTGAGGTCCTTATTGTTATTTTTTTCAATATTTCAAAATATTTTACTCTGAGCGGGTTCGAACCTTCCACCCTTTTTTCCAGAATCTCCACTTAACCAAAAAAATTAATTTTTTAATTTACAGAACCAATGGTCGCCAACTTACGATGTTGCTGCAATACTTACTTCAATTCAATCGTTACTTGATGAACCGAATCCAAATAGTCCCGCAAATTCACAGGCAGCCCAGCTTTACAGAGAGAATCGTAGAGAATATGAAAAACGTGTTCATGCAATTGTTGAACAGGTTTAATTTAAATTTTGTATTTTTTGGACATTCAGTCCCTCTCTAGTTTAAGCCTCGGATTTTCCTTAATGTGTTCATAATGGTCATTCGAAAATGCCTCAGGGAAATTGAGTAGGATTGAGGAAGGAAAAAATCCTCCCCGAGTTTTTTTCCTATTTTGTACAAAATGGTCAGACTTTTCCCTTCCATTCCAATTGCCTTTTCATACCTCAAACTAGAGAAGGCACAAAAAAGTATTTTAAATTCTATTTAAAAATTAAATTCTTTTTTCAGTCTTGGATGACTTTTTCAAATGACGATTCGGACGAAGCTGCAGACCAGCTAGAAACTGCACGTGAAGACAACGACTCTCCACACACAGCAGCTGAATATGAAGTTGGTGGGGAAGAAGATGGAGCTTTGGATGTGACACAAAATTCGTTTCATGAAGAAGAAAATGATGAGGATGAGGAGGAAGAAGGGGAATTAAGAAATAATGATACTGATAATTCTGTGGAACAAGACTGAGTTTGGAGTATTTTAGGTATTTTTTAATTTGTGTATATGAGAGAGAGAGAGGTTGTGGGGGTTTATTGAAACATTAAAAAATTTTTTTAAGTATAAGTCCACTATTCAATCGTTTCATACTTGGATCAGAGATGGATCCGCTTCCGCCTTCCGCTTTTTAAATTGAAAATTCTCCGTCCCTGCTATGGATGGATGGACCTGGAACCCAAAAAGGTTCTCCCTGACTGGATCAACCCTAGTATGGAACGACTGGATATGGAATTTATGACCTTAAAAAAATTTTTTTCTAGAAAATTATCAGTCCCATACCCATTCGTTCTATACTCTTCTGTGTGATTTTGCTTTGAAAAATCAATTCTCTTTTATTTTTAAAATTTGTAAGATTGTAAAAAAAGACAAAAAATGTTCCCCCTTTAAAATTAAAAAAAAATTATTTTTGTCAAAAAAAATTTTTTTTCGATTTATTAAAAATAAATATTATAAAATAAAATAACAACAAAAAATAATCTAAAAAATAAAATATTAAAAACATTACATGTCCCATTAAATTGATATAAAAAATCTGCTGGCCAAAAAGGAATTGAGTTGGCTGATTTATTGTAATATTTTTCTTCTTCTACAAATTGTTCTGAAAATTAAAAAAATAAAATCAGAATTTGTAAAACTTAAACGTTAATGTGTTTTGTAATTTTTAAGTTTATTTTTTACAATTTGTAAAAATTTATTTTATAAAGTAAAAATAAACTTGGAAAAATAAATAAACTTTTTTTTAAATAAACTTGTTTTACAATTGAAAAATGAACTTTTTACAATTTGTAAAAAAATAAACTTGGAAAAATACAACTTATTTTTACAATTTGTAAAAAGTTGTATTTTTAAGGTTGTAATATTCCGGATTCTATTCTATTCCGGAAGTTATTGTATTTTTCTCTTTTATTAGTATTTTCCGGAAAAACACAAATACTTTCCGGAAAGCTAATATATTTATGTATTTTTCCTACACTTTTAAGGTTGTAATTTTACAATTGCAAAAAAAAAAAACTTTTTTTACAAACTTTAAGTTTTAATAATTGTATTACCCTTTCTCCCCATTTTTAATTCTTCTTGCTGTTCAACTTGTCGCCTAAGCGGCGTTCCTTCTATTCTAGTTGTGTGTTTTTGTTTATTTCTTTTTACTACAAAAAATTGCAAATTTTTTTAAAAATATTTTTGAGTTTTACATTTTTGTGAAGATATTTTTGTAAAAGTTTTGTCCTCTTCATTAATTAATTTATTAACTTTTTGAGTAATATCTTGAAGATTTTTGCCCAAATCTTCCTTATTTGAATTTTGTTGGTTGTCTGCTGAAAAGATTTAAAATTTTAGGTTAGTCCTCATCTCAATTTTACGTACTTTCTTGAGGGTCTTATAATGAGTGGTATCTTAAATGGAGGGTATCGTTTATAATGAGAGGTATATGAAAGAGAGAGTCGCTTCTAATGAGGTGTACATTAATTGGAGGGTATCGCTTGAGCAGCTTCCCACACCCAATGGGCATCCAAATTTTAAAAAGTACCTTAAATTGAAAGTACGTAAAATCGAGGTTTGACTATACACCTCACCAAAATCCCCCCATAAATTTTTTCTTACCCTCAATCCTCTCAATTTCTTCGAAAATTGCTGACTGTTTCCTTTCATAAGCACAATCGGGACATTTACATTCCTGTGCCCTATCAAATGTACATCGATATTGAGTATCTTGTGGGATTTGTGCCAATTCAGAAATCAAAGTTTGGTTGTTTAATAAATTTGAATGGGAAATGCAACGGGTGGATCTGTGTTGATTTTTGTTAATTTTTAGGGAAAAATTATTTTCTCCCCACCTTTTCAACAAAGCTTCCCTTCCCCAATACTGCTCGTCACGGCTTAGACAATAAATTAATGAATCTGGTTCCCATTCAGCACAATCCCTGGGGTCTTGCGAACAACTTTGAGTTAACCCACGTATCTGAACACAGTAGGAGCACTTCTAGAATAATAAAAATAATAATGATTGCGTAAAGAAAAATGGTCAGATCTCGTTATTAGATACCTTTCTGGGGCTGAAATCGTGCCTTATAATGAAGGGTATTTTAAAATGGGGGTATTTTAAAATGGGGGTATTTATTACTTACTCAGCTCCTCTTATCCAATAAGACAACTAAATTCAAGAACTTATCTTAAATTGAATGCCTTTTGGAGGTACCTTATAAAGAGATCCTATAATTTTTTTAAAGCTCCTCTCACCCAACAGCCAATCTACCTAATTAAGGAAAAATTACCTGAATGTCTGAAGAAGGCCTAAAATCCAAAGATATTGCCAATAAACAAAGCAACGAGCACGGGGTTGTCATTTAAATATTTTTCTCCTTTTTTGCAAAAAGCAATTATTTGACAGATGAATGAGCGGAAGCAAAAAAAGAGAATTTGTAGAAAAGGAAGAAAAAAATGTCAAAAAATTTAACTATTATGTAAAATGCGCAGCAAAATTTCAAAAGCAATTATTCAATAGAAATGGGCGAAAATTTCAAAAAATAAAAGTTGGTCAAAATGATGCTCAAAATCATCTCTCTCCTTCTTTATTTTTTTAAATTGAGTAAAATTGCTGAGAATCTTTTGTATTTTTAAATGGAAATGTGCTTCTTTAAAGAATCTTTTTTAGGTCAGATTTTAATTAAAATTCTGATTTAATGAATTAATTGAAGAAAATTCTGTTTTTATTTTCCAAGTTTTTTTAAACAAAAATTCTGATTTTGAATAATTCTGAAAGTTATAGACTATTATTTTTCCGGAATTTCTTTTACGGAATTTATTTTACGGAATTTCTTTTGTCTTTTCAATAATCCTTTCCGGAATGTATTTTATTTTCTATCATTTCCGGAATTTCTATAATCTTTTCCGGAATGTATTTTCCTTATACTACATATTTCTTTCCGGAAAACATGTATAATTATTAAAGTTGAATAACTCATTTTTAAATTAAAATACCGGAAGCAGTTAAAAAAATTAAAAATGGGGAAAATTCTCTTTGAGGTCAAAATTTTAGTACAAGTTAAATAAATGATGGACGTGTGTATTATTTAATCTCTCTTCCTTTCTAATAAATTAATCCCATTTTTTACACAATTGGTCGTTATTTTTTTCTAACGGAAAAAGAATTTTAGGGAAATACCCCTAAAAATAGTTACGTATATTTTTGATTGTTTTGCTTTAAAGGCAGATGAAATAGGAAGATAAAAATAAAAAAAATTTAAAGGGAAAAAAATTTTTTTGTGAATTTTTTTTGGCAAAAAAACTTTTTTGCGGGTTTTTTGGGAAAAATTTGTTTCTGAAAAAAAATTTCACAAAAACACAAAAAATTCGTTTAGATTTAAACTTAAATTTAAAATTTTTTTAGCTAATTATAATTTTTCTTTCCCCACTCCATAACCTATATTGTTTGCACTTGCCTTTAAGCTTTTTATTTTTTGATCAAATTTATTACACTATAATATTTTTGGTCAAACTATATATTTTTTTAGAAAAACAAAAATACACCAATTACTCTCTTAATAAATCAAATTGTAAAAATAAACTTAGAAAAAAAGAAAATTAGTCACACGTTAAAAAATTTGGGGAGGAAAAAAAACTTTTAATTATTTTAAAAATAAAATAAAATGAAGGAAGATCTTTAAAAAATATTTTTTTCTTTAAAATTTAATAATTTTGGACGATCTGAAAAAATATTAAAAGAAAAATGTAAACAATTTTTTTTATTATTTATTTTTTGGATGATTTTCTAGACATTGTTTTTAAGAGAAAAAATATGTAAATATTTTTATTTAGAATAAAAAAAGACAGCTGGCGCGCATAATTAAAAAGAAAATTATTTTAATACCCAAAAAAAAGAGGAGATGTGGATCAAACCCGCACGAAATTTCAGAAAAAAAATTTTTCCGATAAAACGTTTTGTTTTTTAAGTTTGATCAGGATTTAATAAAAATTATATTTTCTTTTAATTAGAGAAAATAAAAATAAATCTCTTGAAATCCCAATAATATTTTAAAAGTTTCTCTGTTTTTATTTAACACACGTGTTAAATAATTATTTATTTCATTTTACACGCCGCGGGAATTCTTTTTTCCACTAAATATTTTTTTCAAAAATATTTTTATTTGTTTTACCCAAAAAAACAAAAAATAAATGGAGAAGTTCTCGTGTTCCTTTTTGAATAATTTTTTAAAAAATAATTGTTTTTAAAGATTATGGAAGTTTTTAAAAAAATTTTTTTTTCAAAAGAACTCAAAAGATTTTGACTTTCAAAAAATAGAGAATTAAAAATTTTATGGCGCTAAATTGGCAAAAAAACGTTGTATATATTATCAAAATGAAGAAAAAAAATTATTGGATAGAGAGAGGAATGTCTTGACAAAGTCTTTGGGAACATTAAAAAAATATTTAATCTTATTATTAATGCATGGATGAAATTTTGAGAGGGAAAAAAAATTTTTTTTTGAAAATTAAATGAGGAATATTGTAAAAAATTTTTGAATACTCAAAGAAAAATAGTCAAAGCTTGTTAAATAACTACAAGTCTCAAAAAAATTTTTTTCCCTTCAAAAAAATTTCAACCAGCAAATAATCAAATTTAATTAAATAGCCCTAATACCTATTTTTAAGGGTGCCGGAATTTTCGTCTCTGGAAATTTCGTCTCCAAGACTTTTCGGAACTTTCGTCTCCAACATTTTCGGAATTTTCGTCTCCAGCGGAATATTCGTCTTCAAGGAAATAAACGGAATATTCGTCTCCGCAATTTTCGTCTCCGCTAGGAATTTTCGTCTCCAGAGGAAAATTACCCGTTGACGGAACAACATCCCCAGTTGACGTAACATCATCCCCCGTTAACGGAACAACATCCCCCGTTGACGGAATATCCCCCGTTAACGGGACAACTTTCCCCGTTGCCGGAACATATCATTTTTCCTCTGGTTCGTCAACGGGTAATTTTACTCTGGAGACGAAAATTCCTAGCGGAGACGAAAATTGCGGAGACGAATATTCCGTTTTCTTCCGTGGAGACGAATATTGCGCTGGAGACGAAAATTCCGAAAACGTTGGAGACGAAAGTTCCGAAAAGTCTTGGAGACGAAATTTCCAGAGACGAAAATTCCGTACACCATTTTTAAAATTATATTATTAAAAATATATCACCTCATTTTCTCTTGAAATTATGTCTCATCTTTTTCACACAATCAAAAAAATTTCTTCCCTCAACAACGTGTCTCATAAAGTCCAGATCTTCCAATATAACGAACCCATTTAACAACTTCATGGTCGGAATAACCCAATTTTGGTTCAAACACTTTCAAATAACGAACTTTCAAACCAGACGGAGCAAATGGAACCTTTAAAAATTTTTTTAATAATTTCCACAAAATTTTTAAAAATTTTCAAAACCTCAAAATTCATAGAAACAGGAGGTCGATTCCACTTTTTCTTTTCGGCTGTCCCAGTATTAAGTAAATCAATTTCAGCAGAAATTTGTGATTCTTTCATTCCTCCCATTCGTTTTATCCTAAAAAATTAAGAAAAAAATTTCTTGAAATTTTTTTAAAAATGGTAAAATTTCAAAAGGTCCCAATTTTCAAAAATTTTTAAAAAATATCTACAAAAATTTTCTTACTTCCAGCAAATACAATTCTCTCCAGCTTTGTATTTAGCCTTTCCTTTCATACAAATAAGTTGAACTCCACTAGTATTTGGCGGCGTTGGGATACGAACTTCAATTTTTTGGGCAAGTAAAGAAGGTTTAAAGTTGGATTTAATGACTACCTAAAAATTGAAAAAATAATTTTTTTGAAAATAATTTGGAAAAAACCTTCACTTCCATTTTATTTCGAGAAACTTCTCTTACAAGAGGAATAACTCGAAAAGGTAATTGAATGTCTTTTGTAGTTCGATATCTTAAATTTTGATTAAAAATTAATTTTTAAAACTGTAAATGTTATAATAGAAGCCCATTTCCAATAAAAGCCCAATACTATTAGGGACTATTAATGACACCGAAAATGCCCACGATTTTTATTATAACATTTTTAGAAAAGTTAAAAACCTCATCAATTCATATTCACCATCTGGCGGAATAAAACTTATTGCATGTTCTGTATCAAATTTGGTCAGTTTAACACACTGGTGGAATTGACAATCATCTATTGCAACAGAAGAACGATTTCTGAAAAATTTTTTAAAATAAAAATGGTCTACATCAATTTTTGCCTCTTCTGGTTAAGTGGTATATTTGTAAAAATAGGTGATGGGGTTCGAACACTTTCGGGGTGAAATAATTTCTTTTTTCGAATTTAATACAAATGCATTTTTAAATGCAAAAATTAATTTTTTAAAGATATTTCCCCTCATAAAATTAAAACACAAACGATTTATTAGGTTCTTCACTTCCAGCTCGTCCCTTCCCTTCAATTGTCAACTTGTCATTAATTCCAAATTTACATTCGGGCATACCACTCAAATAAGATTTCATTGCTACTTTGCCGGCAACATGTGCAGAAAGGACTTGACCTAAAAATTGAATTTGAAATATTTTATCCCCTTTGGTTAAGTGGTATTTTCATAAAATATTTGATGGAGGTTCGAACCCTTTCGGGGTAAAATAATTTTTTCTTCCAAAAATCTTTCAAAATCAATCAAAAAATGAAGTTAAAAACCTTGTTGACTCATCAACAAATTTACATATTCAATAACATCCAAAAATAATTCATTTCTTCGATATTTAATGCCTTCACGTCGCAACCCAATTTGTCCAGTAACTTGAGACGTTATTTGAGCTTGTTCTTCTTTAGTCTAAAAAAGAATAAATTTTAGGAAATTTATTTCAGAAACTCTTAACCGCTGTTCGCACTCCTTGTTGTGTAATGAATGTTTTGAGAACACCAGGGTCTGTATTTTGGGGGTAGCCAAAGTCAAGTATTTCTGAAAAAGATGTGAATCATTAAAGCTAAAATAAGGAAGAGGCAAAAGTCTAGACCAGAGCAGGCAACGATCCTTATACCTCCTGGGAATTATTGCTAGGCGCTTTCGTTCACCCCAAATATGCCCTACCGCTAAGCTATCGGAGCATTGCTTCACCTCTTTTAATGGAAGGTGAAAACCGTTTAACCATCTCCTTCTCTTCCTACATTAATTTTTAATTCTAAAAAATCCAAACCGTCCAGCAATTCATAAATCAACACAAAATTGTTCTTAACATTTTCCTCATTCAATTTTCCAAAATATGACTGCATTGTATCAGCAAACCTATTCATAAATTCAAAAACCATCGAAGCACAAATATTGTGTCGAGTAACAGCACAGACCCAAACATTTCCTCGTTTAATATGGAAAAAGGAAGTGCGCGCCAAATTTGTGACTGGGCTACGAATCTATCAAAAGAAAAGAAGTTCAAAAATCTTCAATTGAAAAAAACCTGTTGTCTAGCATGAATAACAGAAACTCTAAAAGCATCAACAGCGTTTCGATTAACATCATCTCGATAAATACGAGAAATAAGGACTTCTCCTTTGTGATTATAGACAAACAATCCACCAATCATTTTAAGTAACCGAGGGTGATTTAAATAAATTAAGTACAAGAATTAAAAAAATGAAAAGAAAAAGCATTAAATGCTTAAATCAAATTAAGAATTAATTCAAGAAGAAAAACAAATTAGAAACTCAAATTTATTCGAATAACTTTTTGTTGTTAAAAATAAATAAAAAATTGAGTGAGTATTAATATTGAGAAAAAAATAAGGTAATAGTAGTATCGTTTATCCCCCCCCCCCTCCCTCCTTTTTTAATGAATCACTTGTAGCATTTTTTCTTTATTTATGGCAAATTATAAGTCATTCGTCGAATGGCAGTAAAATCAACAAATTTGACTTAAATCCCAGGGAGGATCCAGCTCAATAATTTTGTTTAAAATCCCCAAATCTGACTAATTATGGTATTCGCCCCAGCTCGAAGAGCTAATTGAAATGATATAAAAATTATAGATCACGCAAAAAAAGCTCAGAATGGTCATGGATTTATGAAAGAAGGGTGGAATCAACGCCACTATTACCAAAATAAATTAGAAAGCTTAAAATTTGTTTAAAAAAGAATTTTTGTTTGAGTAAGGCAGGTTAAAAAAAATTTACAGGCAGTTTTAAGAATAAAAAAAAGGCTCAATCCGAAAAGGAGAGCAGCACACCTCAAAGTCAGCACAGCAATTAATTTAAATATTGTGTAGAGTATTCTTGTCCAATCACGATTCCTAAATAATTTTTAAAAATAAAGATAAAAATCTCATCCTATTTTTGATAAGAGAACCCAAAAAACTGGTTTTTCATAAAACAATTTAACTATTCCCCCATGACTACAAAACTTATAATACCTCAGCAACGTTGCCTCGCTTCTTAACATCAACCTTCTTGGGATCCAACTTAAGAGAAATGCACTTCTCCCACCTGCACTCTTGACACTGAAATAGAAAGAAATGTTTTAAATTTACTATTAATATAAACTCACGTCACGAAGCGCTCGCATACGAGCACATTCCTTCCTGCGTTTGCATGACTTAAATTGGCGATCCCGTCCTGCATAGTACCGAAAGAATGTCTAGTAAAAAAATAAAAATTTAGTGTCAAAATTTTCTACATTTTAAAAAGGTTTCCCAACCCAAACCAATAGTTGCAAAAAATAAAAATTAATTCAAAAATATACTCACTCGACAAGGATAACAAACAACCAAATCCTGAAAATTCACTGAAATTGGAAAAAAAGATGTTAAAAATATTTAAAAAATTAAGAAATACCACAAGGTTCCATAAGAAGACAGACTCTACATAACTGTGGCAGTTTTGAGTGAGCTTTCAGTTTTGGCAGTTTTGAGTGAGCTTTTTTCTTGCACTTACATTGTGCTAGTAAATAAAAAATGAAAATTTAATGTCGACAAATTTTCTAAATCAATTCAATATTCGTTTTAAAGCAATCCCCACTACTTGCACCCCGTTTTCCTACTCATTTCCACCCGTTTCCTTTTAAATCCGTTGTCCTACTATTATTCTATTATTTATATTAATAACCCTTTTATTTTTTTATTACTCGGTCGTCGGGTCGTCATCAACCGAGTCGGGTCGTCGAACCGAGTCGAATGCCAATAAAACAAAATTTGTCTTACCCACAATAGCCTCCAACTCAGAAATTCGAAGGTGTGCGGCGGTGAGATTTCCTTCCAAATCAGAAATTCTCTTCTCCAAAGCCTGAATACGGTTCTAAATATAAAGTTTTAAAAATATTCAATAAAATAAAAAAAACTATGCAATCAGGGTTTGTGCATGCAGAGGAAGTCGAAGGAAGAGAAGAAACTGTTGGAGCAACTAATCCTCTCTGTTCGATATTGGCCAGTTCATTTGAGGCCGCCTTGCATAAGGTGTCGAATTTGCTCTCCATAAATTAAATTAAATAATTTAGTTAAAATTAAATTATTCTGAAAATTTTAAAAATAAGCGACCATGCCGATAAACATACGCAAGTTTAGTTAGAAAAGCACTTTTCTGTTTATGTCAGTAAACTCAAAATCTACGCCCCGTAAATTTCTAATAATCGAGCCTGATTAAAATTTAAATCAATTAGGTAAATCGGAATGGTTGCTTTACTTGTATATTAAAAAATCCAAAGAAAAAGAAAATCAATAACCAAACAAAAATTGAAAAGTTGTGTGTTAAAAACTAAGGTAATCCTAATTGGTATTTTTCAAATAACGCCAAGTTTGGCGTTATATTACTTTCCTTTTCGGTAAAGGTCGATTCAGTATCTCCGATTAAATATAGTGATACATATTGGCCGATTCACAACTTACTTGATTCTCATTCGATTCTAATAATTCTTATATCATTTGAAGGGTCTCGAGGTACCCGAGATCTTTTTCATAATTGAAGTAACCTGACCGAATATACGACAAAAAATTACATCCAGAAAAACTACAAAAAAACTACGATATCGTTTATCGATTATAATCCTTTGCAGCTTTTTTTTGAAAAATCCAGGTTAGTCCAATTATGAAAAAGATCCTTCACTCATTAAATCTTTCAAATCATACACAAAAATTTATGTAATCTATCTATTCTAATCTATTATAGCGATACTGAATCGGCCCCTTCACCAATATTAGTTGATTTTTTTCAAATAAAGCCAAAGTTTGGCAATGACATTTTCATTTTCAAGGAACCCTAAGTTTTTCTTTACATTTTTTACTCTTCAGGAAGCCGAGAAAATTCTTTTCGGTATTTCCAAAAAAGATTCGGAGAATTCATTATTGTCTACGCATATTTATTAAAATTATCAATTTAGATTGCTTAAATTCAAATTTTGAATTTACTAACAACTGGCAGATACCAATGAATTAATTTATTTTTATCAATCAACCTTTGCTAGTCGGAAGACTTCTCCCATGAATGAATAGATTATCAAAGAAGAAGTCATCATCTTTTTAGCATATTTACTCCACAACTCTTGATGTTTTGCTTTAATTATAGCGATTTTTATATGTATAGATGGAATTGAATTAAATTGAATATCCGTATCCAGAGCCAAATCTGTTGGAAATCCATCTGAATAAGTGTTGATGGTTCTGAATACATCAACAAGTAATTCAAGAGGTAAAGTAGTTATGCCTTGCTTTAGTTTTTTAATTTTAGGTGGGGATGAGGTTTGAGTTTGTTGTTCCAATTTCATAATTTGATTGTAGTATATTAGGGATTATTAGGGATAATGATGAGTAGGTATATTGTTAGGGGCAATCAATTAGTGGGGACAATCAACTAAAATTTTATTTAATTACATTTATAATTCAGGAGGCACACAGGAAAGGATTCGACAACACAATTATCCCATGTTGTGATCTTCGTGGTTATAAAGCGATAAGGGACAAGGATTCTTATTATTCGATTAATCTACATATATAAAGCTCTCACAAGCTATTATCCAACAGTATTGCTTAGTGTAAGGGCGCCATTATAAATGTATTATGGAATGGGGACGGTTGAGTCACACCAAATTAGTCTCAGATCTGTTCTGAAAGGTAAGACTCGATTGTCCTTAATTTTTCAAAATACCAAATTTTACAATATAACAGAATACCAAATTTTGTCTGTTAGTTTTTCTCTCTTTTTTTACAGCTACTATTTTACAAGCAGTAAATAATATATCGATTTGTTTGCCGTAAATGAATAATCCAGGGCTCGGATTCGTACTTTATTTGAAAGTACAGTACTTTAAAATCGACCTCCGTACTTACGAAATTGAATTTGTACTTTATTGAAAGTATGTACTTTAAAATCAACATTTTGAAAAAAATGGAAGAAATCTGGCTTAAGGACCCCCAAATTTTCTAAAATTTTCGCCTGCGGCGCAAAAAATGGAAGAAATCTGGCTTAAGGACCCCCAAATTTTCTAAAATTTTCGCCTGCGGCGCAAAAAATGGAAGAAATCTGGCTTAAGGACCCCCAAATTTTCTAAAATTTTCGCCTGCGGCGCAAAAAATGGAAGAAATCTGGCTTAAGGACCCCCAAATTTTCTAAAATTTTCGCCTGCGGCGCAAAAAATAGATTTTTTGGCGCCTTCGGCTCCACAAAAAAGTGCATTGAAATTCACAAAATGGTAAGTTGAAACAAGAAATTATTAGAAAAGATTAATTTAAGAGAGAAATATAAAAGATTTGAGCACGAATAAATGTTTTCTAATTTAATTTTGAGTGTACTTTAAATGTGGAAATTTTGCCCCTATGTACTTTAAAATCAAGATTTTTGTACTTTTTATTGGCATTTTGTCGATCCGAGCCCTGGAATAATCGAGTATGTTCATTTAGGTCTTTTTTTGTTGAAGGGATTGAAATTTTTAAAAAATTTTTTTAAGGTTTATTTGGCCTAAAAATTGATTTTTAATCAAATTTAATTTTTTTTTCAAAATTTCAGTTTTTATTCTTTTTACTAAAAGAAACGAATGCATAGTTTTTGGCGTTTACTAAACAAACCTCGTATTGATGACTGGAGCCCTTTAGCCAAATTTTTCTATGCAGACGATGCTCTAAATATTATTGCTCAAGAATTGGATTCTTTTGATGGTAGACGAGATCCTGAACGTTGTAGTCAATTAGTCAGTAAATTAAGACAAGCACAAGACAGAGTTCTTCATATAATATGTTTGTTTTTTCTTAAAATTTTTTGAAAATTTTTTTAGCGGAAATGGTTTTAATTTGTTTTCCACATGAAAATGAAAGGACGGGTCGAGATTATCGAGTAAAATTTCCCGATGAGATAGTTCATGATAATTTGCCTGGACAATTGTGGTTTGGGGCTGAATGCTTGGCTGCTGGATCCAATATTGTAATTGATTTTATATTTTTAACCCGACAGGTAGTGATCGGTCTGTCGGAACGCGATTTTCCTACATTTTCGATAACAGGCACCTCGACATTTTCGATTTACCTCTGCTCATGTCAGCGGGCGGCCCTTTTAGGGAAAAATTTTCGAAGTTCATTTATTGAAAAAATGATACTCTTCTCACTATTCATGTTCTTTAAATACCAAAAATTAATCCTTTTTGGTTGGTTGTAGGCAAAATGTTGAAAGACATTTGTAAGGGAATTAAAGAAAAAACCTGATCATTCTAAATATATCTGGGAAAGAACTTGCGGAGAAAAAAGGGGCCCGGTAACGACCCTAATTTTTAAAATCTTTATTCTATCCTTCAGGTTGACCGCGAAGCAGAAAGCGAATCAATTCGCCCTATGGCTAAAACATTTGTTCGTCACCTTGAGAAATTGAGAGATCAACTTAAGGAGCAAGCAATTCGTGATCCTAGCCATTACCCCGACTCTATAAGAACTCAATTACAAGTTTTTGACCGTTTATTTGCTGAATTTGAATTTGCGTTTGTTTTTTTTTAATTTAGTAAAAACTTGAAAGATTTTCTTTTTAAGCTATGTAAGCGCCATGGTGCCTGTTAAGTCTGTTCGAGAATATGATCGACAGCTTGATGTTGCCGTCCTTTTTTCTGATTGTCTTACGAGGTTTTTTGATTATTTAAGTTTTGTTTTCGATAATTGTGGTTTCCGATTATTGTGCAAAAGAGCCATCTCAATATTTACATTTGTCAGAAAACTTCCAAAATATTTTTAAACAAGAATGTATCCAAAGAGCATGAACATATATTCGGACAAAAAATTTTTGGTTTGACACTCCCCCCGTTTTAGCCTTCCTAAAATCCAACCTCTTGATACGCCTTTGTTTAGCAATTTTTTAAACATTTTAGAGCAATCAAAGTTGGATATATCAACAGGGAACAAATTGATGACTGTGATCCAAATGTTATTATTGCATTGCCAAGACTTGCTATTGTTTGGTATATTTATAAAATAATTTTTAAATTTATTGAAAATTATTTTAGGGGCCTTCTTTATTACCCAGATGGGGCTTTAGACGTTAAAAAAGACAAGGACGCCTTTTCTGAAATGTTCCGTCATTTTCATAAATTGCTTATAATTGTGAGGAATTTGTTGTTAACGCTTTCGGCCGAGGAACTTTGTCAATTGGAATTAAAATTGGTTACTGGAAGTGATGAATATACCCCTCCAGCTTCGATTAGAACACTTGAACAACAATTTGGTTTGTTTTTATTTTTGAGTGGATTTTATAATTTTGAGTGGATTTTGCGAAAGGAACACCGAAAAAGTAGAATGAAAAGGGGTTCATAATAGGGTTGGCGGTGACCGGTTAATTGTTGCCTGTGATGGGTTAAGAGAGATAGTGGGTTAAGGGGCCACATGCAAAATTTACTGACCGTCCTCAAACTTTCTAATTAAAAAAATGTCTTATTTTTAAGATAACAGAAATTTTAGACCAATCTAGTACCTATTTTAATATTCCCTCTTTCTTTTTTACAGAATGTGACAGTATAATAAACAGCCCAAAAATTGAAATGGACCAACACAAATTGATTGAACGCAATTCAAATGAATATGATCCAAGAGATGATTTTCCTGAACCAGGAATAGGTTATGTTATGAGAAATCCGAGATGTTCTCAACTTATTCCTCTGAATGCGGAAAAGTATTTTTTTGGAATTTTTTAAAATAAATTTCCTTTAAAATTTTCAAAAAGATCTGAATGTTGTGACCGTTCACTTTACGGAAATTCTGATAGTTTAATTCATCGTTTATTTGTTTGTGTTGCTGGTATTGCTGATCAATTACAAACAAATTATTCTTCTGAAGTTAGAAAAGTGTTAAAAATGGTTTTGCAGCCAGTTGAATCTGTGCCCGTCTATGAGGTGAGTCAAAAGGTGAATTTGAAAAAAAATATATAAAGGGAACAAAATATTTTTAGATTTTTTTTAAAAAAATTTTTCAAAAATCAAAATAAAATTTAAGAAAAAAATTTTTAAAAATTTTAAAAAATTTTTCAAAAAAAATTTGTTTTTAAAGATTAGTGGAAAAACTGCCCCAATTCCTGAAAATGAAGAGGAGACAGGTGTGGAAGTAAGAGAAACTTTGCCTTTACCTACTTTTGTTGGTGTTCGTTGGGTTCCTGATTCTGAATGTGAACAATGTACGGCTTGCTCAAGGTTTTTCAGATTTTTATTTTATTTGAAAAATTTTCTAAAAAAATTTCTTTTTTAGTTTATTCACTCTAGTTCGTCGTCGACATCATTGCAGAAATTGTGGACGGATATTTTGGTATATAAATTTGTTACTAAATTATAACTTTATATTTTCAATTTATCTTCATAGTGGTAATTGCTCAACCAACCAAATTGCTATTCCAGAATTGGGTTATGACAAAAAGGTATGCAAAATTAATTTTAAAATTTTAGGAAAGTATATACTGTTGGGTGGGTAGTTATTCTAGTTGGGTGTGCACCTTGTAGTTGACGGGTTGGGTCAGTCAAAAATTTCGGTTGCCTTCGCTGGTTCCAAATTTACTCCTCTACTTATGACTCTTATTTAATAAGCCTTAATTTACTCTTAATTTCTGATTTTTTCAATGGTATTCTTATAAGTGAGGTCCGGCTGTATTATTAAAGTACTTAATAAAAATGTAATTTCCAGCCAAAAATTATTGAATAATTTTTCTAAAGATTAAAAATTAAATATAATACTCTCCTCAATATTTATTTTTAAACTTTCCCTTTCTAAAGGTTCGTGTATGTGACTTATGTTTTGATTCTCGTATTGATCAATCATCATCACCACAACCACAACAACATTTAGAATTATCTCCACAAAATTCCATTCCTTCTTCACTTTCATCACCAATAGAAACAAATAATTTACAACAACAACAAATAGTAAATATTGAAAATTCTTCCCCTCCTTCCTCTTCTTCCTCATCTTCTGCTGCCTTTCCTTCTACAACAACACTTTTTTCTTCTTCTTCTTCTGCTCAACAAACACAACAACAACAACAACAACCAGCACAAGCATCAAATTGTTGATAATTATAAATTAATGACTGAAATAAAATTTACTACAAAGAAAAAAAATTTAAAAGAAAAAACTAAAGATTAATTTTGTGTGAATTACCTATATAATTTTATTTTTTAAAGAAGGGAAAGAGAAAGAAAAGGTCGTTTATATATATTTTTTTTAATAAAATAAATAGAAATTTCCGGAAACGAAATAGACTCTATGGAAATAAATTACGAATAGAAATTTTCCGGATAAGGAATAGAATTTTCGGAAAATAATTTTAATAATAAAATTTCCGGATAGAAAATATAATTTCCGGAAACTAAGTTAATAGAAAATTCCGGATAAGAAATAGAGATTAAATATAAACAATACAAAATTTTCCGGAAACTATAGACTCCTCTGAAATTAAATAGAAATTTCCGGTTCTATTATATAATTCCGAAAAGAATAAATAGTATTTACAAATTAAATAAAAAAATTTCCGGAAATAATGGGAATAAACGACATATCTTTTTTTAATTGAATATTTTACAGGGCCTGTCTATCGCTTTTTTTCATTTTATATATCTAATTTGTGGTTTTTATAGTAAATATTTAATATATATTTTTATTTTTAATATTAGGGGGATTGACCTGAGAGAGTTATTTTTTAAAAATCAATTTTGTGGTTTAAAAATTTGTTTTTTGAATTTTAAATTCATTTAATAATTTCTCGGCCCTTTCCGCGAAGCTGTTCGGCTAACTACATGAGCAACACTTTTTAGATCCCCAGGGCTAACATTGAGGTGAGGGCCAGTATTGTTTGGAGTTTGTTGTTGAAAAGGTTGTTGAGGCGATTGGTTGTTGTTGTTAGTCTTTTTTGGTACGACCTTAAAAAATATATAGTTGATAGATCTTTCTATGTTAATTACCTGGATTTGCCCTTCTTGATTCACATTTACTATTTGTGTAGGAAATTCTGTTGACTGTTGTATTTCTTAAATTTTCCGGAAAGATTAGAACAAATTTTTAGGAAAATTTATAAAAGAAATAGTAAGTTAAAAGTTTCCGAAATTTACATAAATAATAATAAATTTCCGGAAAATATATAGGTATTAATATCTACCTTCATGTTCCTCTGTTGTTTCCTCTGTATTTTCTATAATTTCCTGTTCTTCCATTTTCTCAACAATAATTCCATCACCTTCCCCAAATGAATTATTATCAATGTTATTTTCTACCATATCATATTTTTTGTGTAAAGCATCATCCAATTCTGGAGGTATTCGAAATTCATTTAAAACTTCTTTTTTTACCATAAAATCACATCTGGGATTTTTTTAAAAAAATTCAAAAAATTTTCTATATTAATTAACTGATGTGGTAAAAATGCCCCCATAAATGGAGCAATACTGCCATAACTTAAAAATTCTTGTGCTTGAGAAATAGGTCTAACAAAAGCTTCAGAAAGCAATGTTCCGGCAGAACCTCCACATTTTGCATCAAATTTTACTCGAATACTTGAAGGAAAATTTGGAAAAATTTTCTTTCAAAATTTTTTTTGAAATACCAAATTAGCTGGCAACGGGCAAGTTCACACCCATCTTGAACTACAGCCTTTAATTTTGTTAAAAAAATTTTTATTACAAAATCCTCCTCCTTACACGCATAAAATCAGGCGATAACCGTTTTACCAATGCTGGTCTATTAATCAAATTTTTATTAATTCCTCCCATCTTGGATTGTTCTTCAACAGCTTCCCCAGCTTCTCCAAGAGGCAATGATTGCTTTGAGGCAACTGCTTTAGCAGCCATTCTTATTCCTTTTGCTGTTGCTTCAGCTGCTGCATGTTTAGCTCCTTCTAACACAGAATTTAACATCTTAAAATTTTTACTTGAAACTTCTCATTTTTTATTCACCTCTGCATTTCTATGAAGTCCATTCCCACTTAATATACCCAGCCCTTGATCCTGCCGTCCCAGCATTTTTGTAGCAAAAGCTTCACCATTTGCTAGGCTACTAAGGGCGCCTTTCATAAAACTGTCTAAAATTCCTGATTGAATTGCCCAGTGTGCCATCCTTTCTTTCACATGACACACACCTTCACATTCTTGAAAAAAATTTTTTTTTGTATTTTTGAATAATTTTTCCCCGACCCTTTTCAACTTGATCAGTTTGTGCATCAATACATTCTATAACGGCTTCAAATGCTTTTCTTTGCTCTATACAAATATACCGCAATCCTTAAGTATTTTTATTGTTGAATGTTTAATAATCATGTTACCGCTTGTAATAACGTGAAAAGTTTCTTGATTTGTACAGAGCTCACCTTCCAATTTGTCCATGCAATGGGCGGTGTTATTATAGTTGCTGTAATTAATTAATATAACCTTCCGGAACATAATAAATAATTCCGAAAATTCTTTCCGGAAACTAGTAATAAAATTAAAACTTTCCGGAAACTTTTCCGGAAATTAAATTCCTTCCGGAAATTAGCAATAAATAAATTCCGGAAACTTTCAAAAAATTCCGGAAATAAATAAAATTTCCGGAAAGAAAATACAAAAAGAGTACACATACAGACAAACACCCCTATAGCGTTCAAAATTGCTACTCGACTGTATAGCTGTTTTTGCTGCCTCACTAAATTTGCCTAAACATTCTTTTTGGCATAAAGGCAATGTATTAGATGAAGAACTTGTATCACTTTAAAATAAATAAAAAAAATATTTTTTTAATTAAAATTAATACCCATTATTATTATTGTCAATATCAACAATATCTTCCCCATTGTTTGGTAGCTTCTCTCCACTTTCATAATAATAATCTGGAGGGAAGCCTTCATCCAAAGGACTTCTATACCCTTCGAGTAGACGAACCTCGGGTTGACGTGCTCGAGAAAGACGGTAACTTGAATAAGTGAGAATAGTAGTAAATGTTATAATTTTCCGGAAAAGTTTTTTACGGAAAGACAATTATAAAACTTTTTCCGGAAGTTTATTTATATTTTCCGGAAACTTTCCCCATTACCTTTTAGAGCCTATACTTAATTGTAGAAAAATCAGAAAATAAAAAATAAAATTTACAATCTTACAAAAGTTTTTCATTCTCTTAAAGCTTGGTTAAATGAACAAAAGAAGAAACAATTACAATTGTTTAAAGCCTTTTAAAAAAAGGCTTATTAATCATCTATTAATGTTCTTTTCTTTTTCTCTATCAATTTTCCTTGATTTTCTCGATTTTATGAATAATCTTTTTTTGAATGACTCATTTTTTAAGTCGATATTTTTTTGAAATTTTTTCTATTTTTTAAATTTAATCAAAATCCTCTCTTCTCCTTTTCCCACCTTCCCCATATTTAAGTGGAACAAGAGAAGCACAAATAAAATAATACAAATATACTACATCGACCGTGACTACGCTTTTTTAAGCTAAAATATTTTACAGGATTTCCACCGATTTAAATATTTTAGTTAATAAAAATACGTGTTTTTATTAAATGAACTGGTCTTCTTCCATTTTTTAAAAATATTTTTTTCAAAAAAGGAGAAAATAAAATTTTAAATTTTAAAAAATCATTTAAAATCATTTCTAAATTTTTTTAAAAATTGTTCAAAAAAATTTCAGAATTATTTTAATTTAACAATATTTTCCTCTAAAATTTCATGGGATACTTTTTTTCAATTTCAATTTTATTACCATCCATCACCAATTTTTCTCCCCCTCAATTTTATCCAGTTAAAAAATATTACTAAAAGCCGTCCATTTTTGTAGCATTCTCGATTATTTTGTGCGCGTTAGCTTTTTGATATTTTTTTATAAAAAAAGGAAATTAAATATTTTTTACAATGCGCAATAGATTAAATTTATTTTTTTTTTGTGAAAATGTGGGGGAAAATAAAATTGTTTAATAAATAGATTTTACAAGCGAGAAAGTAACCAAAAATAAATATTTATTTAAAAAAAATTTAATCAAATCCGAAAATAATTTTATTTAAATATTTTTATACCTAGAGAATCTCTATTTATTTTATAAAAATTTTGAAACCTCAAAAAAATTCTTAAAAAAATTTTTTTTCTTAAAAAATTATGTTCATTCAACAACTACAAAGACTTGGAAGAATCTCTTTATTAATAATTCTAAAAATTTCTCTAATTTTAATTATTAATACTTTTATGGTTTTTGCGACGGAAGTTGATAAAGGTTAGAAAAAATTTTCTTACCTAGAAATATTCCAAAAAAATTTATTAAATTAAAAAATTTTTTTTAAAATTCTCCCTTCCTTCCTCTATCATTTTTTAAAATAAAAAAATTCAAAAAAATTTTTTTATTTTTTAAGAATAATTATGTCTATTAATCCTCCCCCTCTAACCTCTCCAGAATCTCCTACGGTTAAAAAATTTTTTTTAATTCCAGTCCAGACCGAAAATAAATATTTGGATCAATCACAAAATGAGAAGAATAATCAACATCAAAATTCGAATATTTTATTACCATTTTCATTATATGAAAAAATGTTATTAGCAAAAGCATTGGATGAACACAGAGCTGTTGAATTGGATGAAGAAAATTTTAATAAATTAAAAGAAAATAAAAAAGAATTTCCAAAATTTCCTAAAGAGGAGATTAATAATGAGGAAATAAATAAAACAAAAATAATTATTTACCTCCCACCTCCACCTTCAATATACCCCCAAGTGTTGGAGAAGACTTCGAGAAAGAAGGGGGAGAAGGAGGGTAATAAGAAAGAAGGTTTGGAACAACAAAGAAGACGAAGACCTAATCCTCAATTAATGCTTTTTAAGTAGGTATTTAATTAAGTATTTTCTCCTTTAAGAAGTTCCCTTTTTGGAGTTTTTGTTTTGGTACTAACTCCCCCACAAAAAATCCTTGGTCCTTGGATTCCTTGGAGATTCCGATAAAAAGATAGTATAGGAAGGAATTTAAAATTAATTGACTATCCTATTTTTGGCATTTTTAACAGAAAAAAGGTTTTTTTAAATTCGTGTCTGTATAGGGGGGAAAGATTTGGGTCGAGCACATACATAAACAAACAAGCAAACAAATCCATCTTTTATAAAATAAAAATAAATAATCCAATTTTTGAGCAAAAATATAATAGCTATATGTAGATTAAAAGAGGATTTTTGTGTTTATGGATATTGAAATTAAAAAATAAAATTTTTTTGAAAATTTGATAGGAAAATATTTTTAATTTTTTTAAAGAAGCCACTCTTCAGAACAATATGCTTGGAAAAACAAAAACACTAAAAATGAAGAAAAACATGAGAAATTAAATAATAATAAACAAATAAACACAACAAAAAAACACAATAAAAACAAAAAAGAAAAAGAAACATTTTCAATGTCTTCAGATGAACATTACTCAATTAATAGGCCTATAACGTTGTTTTTACCCCCACCAATTAGAAGGAATAAAAATCAGAATGAGGATTTTAAGAGAGAAAATGGGCGCCCAGTAAAGGCAAGTTTTTTTAAGTTGGGGAATAAAATCAGAATTTATTTAAAACATGAAGTTAAAACAGAATTTAAAACCAGAATTTTATACTAATCAGAATTAAATTTAAACATTAATTTAGTTAAAACCAGAATTAAATCTGAACTTGTATTTAATAAAAATCAGAATTAAATTAAAACATTAATTTAATTAAAACCAGAATTAAATTTAAACTTGTATTTATTCAGAATCAGAATTAAATTGAACCCTGAATTTTATTGAAACCAGAATTTATTCTAGAAAAATAAAATCAGAATTATTTGCCCCTACTACATATAAACATTAACAAATCAGAATTTATAATAAATAAAAACAAAAATCAGAATTATAATAAAATCAGAATTTTTAAGAGAATACTCAACCCACTGCCTATAACAACAACAAATAATTTAAACAAAGGAATTGCATTAACTAAGCAAATGATTCCTTTTGCTGAAGAAGCACCTCCACCTCCAATAATTGCTAGTAATAATTTGGAAAATATGAGAGGGTTTTTGGATTAATTTTAAAATTTAAAAAAATAATTTTTTTAAGCAGCCAAGTTCCTTTTATTGTACCAAATGATGTTAATAATCAAAATGATTTTGCTTCAAAATTATTAGGGCAATTATTTCCCTTAAATGGTGGAGGAGAGAATAATAATAAGCCTATTTCTGTAAGCTTTTTAATCGAAAATTCCTTAAAAAATTAATTTTCTCTTTAAAGCCACGCATGGCAGCCGCCCCTTTAGCTGGTTCACCCTTCGATTTATTTAGCAATGGAGGAGGATTAGCAGCAGCAGGGCAATCGGCTACCCCAAATCCCCTTCTTCAAATGCTCACTCAAGGGTCTACATTAGAACAGATTACAACTTTAACAAGGAATTTGCTTCAAATGTCAAATGGAAATAAAGAAATTCTGTCAACTTTAATGAATGCAATAACTGGGGGAGGGGGAGGAAGCCAAGCTTCAAAATTAACAAGTTCAGCATTGGCAACAGCCTCTTTACAAAAACAACCACAATTACAAAATAATGCAATATCTGCATTTTTGGCAGGGAATAAATCTTTAATACCCTCGGCGGTTATAATTGAGGATGAAGAAGTTTTGGGGAATAGAAGCAGTAGTGGGAGGTTTTTGGAAAGAGAAGAAATTAGGGAAATTGCTTCTAATGGTAAAATATAAAAATTTATAATTTAATTTAAAATAAAGGAACAATTACGTCATTCAATGGATTTACACCTGAACAACGTAAATTGCTAGCAGCTGCAGTGCTTAACGGTGAATTAGACCCTGAACAGGCAGTAAGGTAGAACTTGCTTCACTTTCTTAAATAAATAAATTAATTAATTTAAACTTGCTTAACATAAGAAAACTTAAGTTTACAAATTATAAATAAACTTGTTTTTACAATTGTAAAACTAGTTTTTTAAACAAACTTTTATCTCCTACGATAAAAATAAACTTTTAAGCAAGTTTATTTAACAACAAACTTATTTAAATATAATAAAATAAACTTCTTTCTCTAACTTAAAAATAAACTTGTTTTACAACTAGGCTATTAACTTCTGAAAACATTACAACTGCTTTCGAAACAATTTCTGAACTTAACAAAACAAACATAGACAATTCTCTTTTTGATTATGAAGAACAACAACACCAAACATTTTTTGGAACAAAACAAAAACAAAACCAACATTTAATTAATGCGGAGAGTAAATTAATTGAGTGGATACAACAAAACAGGCCTAGACATTCTTCAGAAAATTTTAATGAAGTAATAAATAAAAATGTAACAACATCATCCTCTCCTTTAACAAGTCCTCCAAGCCATGATTGGAATAATAATTTTGTTACTTCAGAAAGGCTTCCTTATTATGGGAAATATTGTGGTAGTTTTGTAGAACAGGTATTTAATGTTTATTTAAAGTTTAAGATTAAACTTAAGTTTATATTCTTAAAAACATTTAAGCTAACAAGTTTATTTAAAATAAACTTTAAACTTAAAAACAAGTTTATTTAATACAAACTTAATTAAGTTTATTCAATAAAATTACAAACTTAAAAACTTTAAAAACAAACTTAAAAACAAGTTTATTTAATACAAAACTAAAAACAAGTTTATTTTAACGACGTTTATAAACTTAAGTACAAGTTTATTTTAAATAAGTTTATTTAAAATACAAATAGAAGCAAGTTTCAAGTTTATTATTAGACAGATAGCGCTGCTTCGCATAACGTTGCTGGAGCATTATGGGCAGTGGATGAAAGGCGTTTATTGATAACCAAATTTAATTTTATACCATTATCAAAATCTGGTAATGATTTTTAATTTTTTAAATTTTTATTATTTAAATTAAAGAAAATGTAACATTTTGGGCTGGGCCTTCAAAACCCACAGGAAATGCTGCTTTAGATCTTTTTCCTTCCGAAAATGGATTTATTGTTGAAGCAATTCCGATTGAATTAAATATATTTAATGGAAAAATTATTGAAGTATTTAATTAAAAATATTTTTTAATAAAATTTTTAAATTGTTTTAGATTGAAGCAAAAATATTTTCTAATACTTTACAACCTGAAACTCATGATAAAAATAAAAATGGAAGCGAAAAAGTTTCTGAAATCAAAAATAAAAATCAAAATTCTAATTTATTAGCAGAACGTGAAGAAGAGGAAGAGGATGAAAAAATAATAATAGCAGGTAGGGAAAAATAAATAAACTTGAAGCATAAACTTGAAACTTGAACAAAATGATAAACTTAAAAATATAAAAAGTGAAATAATAAACTTGAAACATTTGTAAATAAACTTGAAATAATTTGTGAACTTAAAATAAAAATCAAACCTTAAAATAAACTTGAATTAGGTTTGTAGACTTGAAGTAAAATAAATAAACTTGAATCAAGTTTTCTTAAAACACTTTCAGCCAACATAACCTCAAATAGTACAAAAAGGGATAGAAGGAATTTATACAATGAAATTTTTGATAATATAACTGAAGAAGAAAATGATAATTTTACAATATTAGTTAGTTATGATGCTCAACAAGATGATATAGAATTTAAAGAAAATAAATTAGAAGAAAAAATAATTTTAAATAATTTTACAAGCTTGCCAGTTAATTTAGAAGCAAAAAATGGAAGCTTCGAAAATGAAAGTTTTGCTTCAAGTTTTATTAAAAATGAGCCATTTGCTTCACCAAACGAAGAAAAAATATTAAGAAATTTAAAATCAACTTATTACCAACAAACTTTACTTTTAACATTACCTCCAGAGCGGTTGACAAAATTATTGGATTGGTTAACAGTTTGGGAACACGAAGAAAATAAAGAAGCATTAGCTATTGTTTTGATACCCAAAGGGCTTCAAATACCTTCAATTGTTCAGATTAGAGCATTTCCTTCTCCAGCTATTGGAATTAATGGAGTTAAAATGTTACAGTCTGGACCTATAAAGGTAAATAAAAATTATTCTGATTTTTATTCTGGTTTGTTTTTTTCTAGCTTTAAAATAAGCTTGAAATATTCAAACTTGTTCAAGTTTATTTTAAAGTTGTTAAACTTGAATACAATTTTTTTTGTAAAACTTGATGAAACTTAAGTACTTTAGTTTATTTAATTAACTCAAGTTTACAAGTTTATTTAGAACAAGTTTAGTATTTGTATGTGTCCTAAAAATAAAACACAAAATAAATATTTCCAAGTTTATTTATTTTATGAAGGTATTGGATACAAAAACAATTGAAGTAACTGAATTTACTTTTCTTTCTGATAACCTTCCAGCTTGGTTTATGGTTGGGAAAGAAATTATGCCTAATGCTAAGGGACATATTGTTCCTATATTTGACAAGTTTGTAAAACATTTAAAAAATATTTTTTTAATTTTTAGAACAAATAAAAGCTTCAACTGCGACTCTTTAAGGGAATATCACAACGAAACCGTAAAATTAAAAAATTTTTAATTAAAAAATAAAAATTTAAGTTAACTTTACGCCTTCCTGATCCTTTTGATATTAAAGATGTGTTTTGGTTTGCTGTAAGTTGTTTAAATAATTTTTTTTGATTTTTTGATTAAAAAATAAATTTTAGCTAAATTATAACTTTGATTTAAAAAGAAAATAAAAAATTTTTTCAGATATTCTCCATTCCCAGAAATATTCCACTTTCACACATTTATTTACCTTATGTAATTTTTATTATTTTTTAAATTAAAAATATTCCAACAATTTATTTTTTTAACAGAATGATATGCAACTTCCGCCAGATTTGGTTAATTTACAGGTAATTAAAAATTTTAAAATAAGAAAAATAATTAATTCAGACACCTCAATGTATTTGGAGAAGAAATATTGTTTAAATAAATACAAAAATACAAAAAGCTTTCCGGAAAACACAATTATTTTAAAAATAACTGTGTTTTATTAAAATATTTTCCGGAAAACACACAAGAAATTATTATTCTTGTAACTTCCGGAAGACAATGCAAAACACATTTAACCGGAAAACACAAATAGAAATAAATATTTTTATAACTTCCGGAAAACTTATACTTTCCGGAAATAATTATACAAAAGAAAAATTCTGACTTTTCCGGAAAGTTTATTTATTTTTATTTTCTAATAATACCAAATTATTTATTTTTAGCTAAAATACCCAAAACAAATTCAATTTTCAAGACCCCAAATTTGTTTTTAAAAAATATAAAATGAAACAAAAATTTATTTTAATTTTTATTTTTCCATACATTTTCAATTTTCTTCTTCTACTAAACTAAATGCTTTCATCAACATAGTCTTCTTCTTTTTATTTTCATTTAAATAGCGCATTTTCTTTTTAAATTGTTTTTACTCACAAAATTAGCTACTAAAACGATACTAGTAATTTACTTTACAAATTTGTATTTTTTCCTTTTTTTTCTAGAATTTATTTTAATTTTTACTTGTGTTTTTACTTAAATTTGCTGGGTAAACTAAAATAAAAAATACAAAAAAGTTTTCCGGAAAACACTTAAAAATAAATATTTTTATTTTTCCGGAAATATAAGTATTCAAAAAATTTCCGGAAAACACAAAAAATAAATACCTATTCATTTAATTTCCGGAAAGGTTATAAAAATAAAAATACATAGTTTTCCGGAAATAAAAATACACAAAATTTTCCGGAAAACACAAACAAAAATAAATAATGATTCTAACTGAAACTTTCCGGAAACAATCATACAAAAATTAAATTCTGATTTTTCCGGAATGTTTAATTACAAAGAAAGGAGGGTAGAGAGCATAGAGTAAGTTGCGCTACTCATATTATTACATTTGACTTTTGGGCATATGTCAGATGAAAGTATTTTATTTTTGGCATTAATTTATTTTAATAAAATTTTATTTCTTTGTTGATATAGAAATATTTTTAAAAAACCTCAATTCATCTAAACCCAATATTTAAGCTTTTTTCATCAATAAAAACTCAATAAATGAATGAAATTTGAGCCAATTGTATCTTTTTTTAAAAATATAAATAATAATAAATCTCTTTTTTAAACCACACATTTTGTGCAAAAATGAAGCAATCTTAGTGTGATTGATCCTTCAACTTTTTTTTTACTTTCAAAAAAATATTTTATTAAAAATAAAGGAGATTTTTAGGAGGATTTTTAATTTAATTTTTAGTTCCAGGAAACAAAAAAATTTTTTACACATTTTTGGACAACAATGAAACCGAAACAAACAAAAAAGTCAAAAAACCTTTTGTTATTATTTTTTTGTTTTTTTTAGAAAAATGAAAAAAAGCTGCAGTTAACCTCATATATACCTTTGGGAATTTGTTGGGGCAAAAATAGCATAAAATATAAAAAAGAAAAAAGGGAAACTGAAGCAGGCGGAAATTTACTTTTTAGTGAAATAAACTAAAAATTCGCAACTTTATTTAAATAAACTTTTTTTAAATTAAATAAACTTTGTCTAAAACTTGATCAAAAAATAAACTTGAAGCATGCGGAATTTATTTTAATTCAAGTTTAATTAATTACAACTTAAAACATTTTTAAATAAGCTTGTTCTAAATAAACTTTAAATAAATAAACTTTGTTTAAAACTTAATCGAAAAAGGAAAAAAATAAACCTGAAGCAGGCGGAATTTAATTATTTTAATTTAAGTTTAATTAATTACAAACTTGATTTAATTAAACTTGAAAACTTGAAAAAAGTTTGAAAACTTGAAAAAAGTTTTAAGCTTAAACTTGCATTTTTCTAACTATTTCGACCAAATTTTTTAAAAATTAAAATCTTTTAAAAAATAGCTTGTAAAAATCTTATTTTTGATTAATTTTATAGAACACATTCTCCTCTATCTTTTAACATAAAAATAAAATTTATAGCTTTATTTAATCAAAAGATAAAAAAATTCAAGTCAGTTGCGATTATATGGTTAACCCCTCCCCTTTTTCAATAAATTCTGCCGTCACAGACGCGACCCTCACATTCTAAAAATTCTTTTTTAAGTCTGTCAGTCTTCAATAAGTTCCTTTTACCTCTTGAACCTTCCATCCACATAATATATTCCTTTTTTCAATTTTTTTTTATTTTCCCCTTTTTTCCTTTCCTTAGGGAAAATATGCCAGCCACACACCCAAAAACACACATAAATAACCTAAACTTTTTTTTACAAATTTATCCGCTGTCATTTATCGAATTTTGTCCTCTTATAAAAATAAAAGCTTTTTTAATGAATTTTTATAAAAATAAAAATTTATTTATTTGACAATATTTTTTGCCGTCATTTTCATAAACTTAAAAATATTTTATTTTTCTTTTAAAAAATATTTTATGCTTTGTCAAGCATTAGAAAAGGAGTATTATTGCTTGTTTAAACCTTTTAAACCTTTTATTTCATGGATTTTTTAAAAATTACAAATTGTAAAATAAATTTTAGACAAACAAGTTGTTTAATAAAAATACAAATTGTAAAAACTTTATTACAAACATGCTTAATTACAAATCGCAAACTTAAAAATAAACTTGACCAACTTGAAGAGAAAAAATAAACTTTACAAGATTGCAAACTTAACAAAAATGCTTAATTAAAAAAATAAACTTGTTCATTGAAAAGATAAAAAGCAAATAAATGAATTGAGCAAAATAAAGCAAAATAAAATGAAGCAAAATAAATGAAGCAAAATAAATCAACTTTTTTAGAATTTTTTAAATAAATTTTTTCTCCAAAAATTTTTAAAAATAAATTCCTTCTAATTTTTCATTTCCTTATATAAATTCCAATATTTTCTATTATTATTATTAAAAAATTTCTTTTTTTTATGTGTGGGATTTTCTAATGACCAACTTCAACCAACCAACCCCCCCCTTCTCCCCCAACTTGGGAAAGCGTGAGAGAAGAGGAGTACTATATTATTATTATTAAAAATACCCACAAACAAATAGCTAATAATAATAACAATTTTCTATATACTTTAAAAAATCTCGCGACTATATACCCAAACAAAGCTGCAATTAAAAAAGGTTTTTTTTCTCTGCAGGGGCTTTTTAAAAAATATTGTCCTCAACGGAAAAAGGAAAAAAAGTTTTATTTATTTTTGATTCAAGTTGGATATTTTTAATTTCAAGTTTGTACTTTTAATAAACAAATTAAGCATTTTTTACAAAACTTGAATTCGTTTTACAATTTGTAATTTCTCATAAAACCTGTTTTACAATTTGCAACTTTTTCTTAAAACTTGTTTTACAATTTGTAATTTTAATGTTTATATTTTAATTTTATTTCTTTTCCCTTGCATAATCTTAAACAAATACTTGAAATATTGAATATTTTCTACTATTTTTGGCCTTCACTTAAATATTATGCACTTTTAGTTACCTCTCTTAGCCCGCTTTATCTTGTAATTTCCTTAAAAATATTTTTAAACGATTTCTGAATTTTTCCTTCATTTAACTAAAAGAAACATCCAATTATTAGTCCCCCCACCCCCCTACTTTACTTTCTCATGAACTAAAATTAAAGAGAAGACTGATCGCTTCAAAAATCCATCATTTATTAACTAGCTAATTTCCCTTTCCTTCCAATTTATTTTCACGTTTGTTATAATGGCCACCCCTCATATAGCCTTTACGTCGATGGCCAGAGGCTTGTTCCCCCCTTTAGCTCTTCCATTTCCTGGACAAAGGTACCTCCAAAGTCTTTTGCTATATCCTCAACAAAAAATATGCCTTTCATTTCTTTTCCTTCCCCCTTTTTCACTTTCCAAACATTTTTTGCCTGGTTTCCTGTCCCTTGCACTTGGCCATTTTGTTGTTTCTCCTTTTTGCTATTTTTTAGTTATTCCCTTGCTGCTCTTTATATTTATCCATCTCCACAAATGCACACATCCATCGCTCAAATGCCCTCCCATTATTCCATCGTTCGGTCAAGAGCAGCAATATATAGCATGTTTTAACATCTCTTCCCAACCATCTGTTTAAATATGTTGTACTTATAGAATAAATCCAAGAATAATAAACTTTGGAAAATAAACTTGAAGCAAACACAATCTTAACTCATTTAATAAATTAAACTTGAAACTTAATAAACTTGAATTATTCCTCAAGTTTTAAGTTTCTAAACAAGTTTTAAATTTTAAAACTTGTTTTTTCAAGTTTGTAGCTTTAAACAAGTTTTAATCCAAGTTTATTTATTTTTTAAGTTTGTAATTTTGTGAACTTGTTTTATAAGTTTCTAAACAAGTTTTAATTAATAAACTCGAATTATTCCTTAAGTTCCAAGTTTTAAATTAAAACTTAGCTTTAATTAAAACTTAGTTTAAAACTTGTTTTTGATGACAAACAAGTTGTTTTAAGTTTGTAATCTTTAACTAAACTTTAATTAAAGTTTATTAAATTTTTAAAGTTTGTAATCTTTTAATTAATGTATTTTCTAGTTTGCTTATTTTATTAAATAAAAGAAATAGCATTTTATTAATTACTAAAAACATTTATTTTCTGCACGCAAATAAAAAATAAAAATTTATTAAAAAAAAGATCATAAATATGAGGCACAAACCATTATTATTATAACAACCTTTCTTGTTTATTTTGAAATAAAACCTGCCTAAATATAATTTTTAAATGTGAGTTTTGACGCAAAAATTGAATAAAAAATAATTATTTTTTAAAGGTCTTTCCCAAATAAATATTTTTGTTTAAATAAAAATCTCATATAAATATAACAAGCAACACTGGCGAAAGGAGCTCGTAGTGGCATGCTTCTCTATTATTTTGCTAGTGCTGTAAAATCTATACAATTTCACGTTGATGATGATATTATTGATAAGCTCAATTATTATTATACAACTGCTATAATTATTGGCAAGTTTATTTTTAAAAAACAAGTTTATTTTTTAAAAAACAAGTTGTAAAACAAGTTTATTAAAAACAAGTTTTTGAAAACAAGTTTTATAATAAGTTTTTAAAAACATTTAAAAAATGTTTATTAAAAATTAAAACAAGTTTATTTAAAATAAGTTTATTAAAAATAAGTTTAAGTTTATTTAAAACAAGTTTAATTAAAACAAGTTTATTTAAAACAAGTCTCATATAAGTTTTTAAAACAAGTTTTGAAACAAGTTTATTTAATCAAGTTTTAAAACAAGTTTTTGTTTAAGGTTTATTTTTTAAATTATTTCAAGTTTGTAATAAATCAAGTTTTAATACTAAATATCAAGTTTGTAATCTTGAATTAAGTCTTAATTTTTAAGTTTTTGCAATTCTGGTCTCAACAAAGGAATACCTCGGTGCCCCTATTCAATGCTGGGTCCCTGCTACTTTTACAGAGCCTATGGAGCAATACACAGAAAATTATTGTTTTGTTCAGGTAAATTAAATATTTTTTAAATTAAATTTATTTTTACAATTATTATCTATTTTAGAGCACCTATTTTTTGCCATTAAATGACTACATTCCAAAAATACTTTCAGAACGGGAGCAACGTCAAATTGGCTATTACCAATGGGTAAAAGAAAAAAATTCTGATTTTTTTCTGACAAATTCTGATTTTTTCTAATTTTAGGTCCCTTTTGTATTAGCTCTAAAAGCCCTTCTTTTCTACGTCCCAACAATAGTTTGGAGGCTTTTAAGCTGGCAGTCTGGTATTCACGTCCAATCCCTCGTCCAGATGGCCTGTGATTCGAGGCTATTGGATGCTGAGAGTCGCCAACGAGCAATGCAAACAATTGCTACAAATGTAGAGGAAGCATTACATGTAAAACACCAAGTGGGAAATTTTTAAAGAATTCAGAAAATTTTCTAAAAAAATATTTTTAAGCTTGGAGGTAGTCGAATGAGAATGTTAAATTTAATTATTTGTACGAGGAGTAGTGGGGCCGCTGTCACTTTTCTTTATATTTCTGTTAAAATACTTTACACGGCAAGTCGAAAATTTTCAAAAAAAAATTTCAAAAATTTTATTTTTTAAGGTAAACATTGTTGGCCAAATTTTTCTGCTCAACACATTTTTGGGTAACAGAAGTCGTTGGTATGGTCTGCACGTTTTACAGGATTTAATGAATGGGCATGAATGGGAGGAAAGTGGACATTTCCCTCGTGTCACACTTTGCGATTTTGAAGTTAAAGTTTTGGGAAATGTGCATAGGCATACTGTTCAGTGTGTTTTGATGATTAATATGTTTGTTTTTCTGTTTTAATTTTTTGGAGGAAAAAGTTGGGAAAAATCTGTGAAATACTGAATATGAATACTAGTGAGAGAGGGACACCGCCTAATTTAAAAAACCATAACTTTTTTTTTTCAAATTTTACCAAAACTTTGATTTAAACCTCTTAAGATAGAGGAGAGTCTAAGCTTCAAAATGACATCAAAAGTAAATTTTAAGACCGACGTTAACAGATGTTATGAATTTTTAAGTGTGCCGAATCACTTCTATCAAATAAGTTAAAGGTTTAGGGAATGTGAACAGGCAATTATAATACAATAAAATTCTAATAACTAAAGAATTTTCTTATCATTCTTTGCAAAATTTAAATTATTTTTCAACTTTAGGTTCAACGAAAAAATCTTTTTATTTCTCTGGTTTTGGTATTTTTTATTAGCAGCAGCAACATTCTGTTCCCTACTTTATTGGCTATTTATTTCAATAATGCCTAGTCGACAATTAAATTTTGTTGGGAAATATTTGACGGGGATAGAAGGATATAAAATGGTTGATTCCCAATCTTTGAGACGTTTTGTCTTTCATTTTCTACGGCAAGATGGAGTTTTTCTTTTGCGTATGGTTGCGACACACGCGGGGGAATTGGCCTGTTATGAACTGGCAAAAAGATTATGGGACAATTTTATGGGAGGATCTCAAGAAAGAGGGACTAAAATGCATGATGTTTAACGTTAAAAATAAAATAAAAATTAATTTAAAATTCAAAGAGCTTTCATTTAAATTTTTCAGGCAAATTTTCTTTCCATCCATTCCCTTACATAATTTTTTTTTAATTTTTTAAATTGAAAAAAAATTTTTTTTTAATAATTTTATATTTTAATTGAAAAAAAAATATATTTAAATTAATGACTGGGTAATAAATAAAATAGATGAACGTGAAAATGCGCGAGGAAAATGCCCCAAACATCTTATTATTTTACAATGTTTGTAAATTATCTTAAAAACAAAAGAAAAAATCAGATCAGATGTTTCAAGTTTTAATTAAAAGCAAACAAGTTGAAATAAAAATCGCAAACTTAAGTTTGCGGAATAATAGAGAAATAAACTTGAATTATTAAAACTTGTTCAGATTAATAAATAAACTTGAATTAAAACAAGTTTATTTTTAGGATTAAAACAAATAATTTAAAACTTAATAAACTTGAACTTAAAACTTGAAAATAAACTTGACTTAATTAAATTTTTTAAGCTTAATCTTAAATAAAAGATTGAGGAAGCGAGGTAATATAAAACAAATTTTCCCTACATTTAAAGAAATAAAAATTTTATTCCCAAATTTATCAAAAAAATATATTTTGTCGTATTTATTCTAATAGAAGGCCTTTTGAATTTTTCCTTACAAAAAAAATTTTTTCTTTCATTTTAGGGAAGATTATCCCAAAATTAAAAGCTCCTTCTATTATAAATAATTTAAAAAATAAAAAGTCAAAAAAAAAATAATCAAGAAAAAAAATTATAAAAAATATTTAAAATGGTTGTTGTGTCAAGTGTTGGAATGTTTGTTGATGATTCAACAAAAACCGCAAATTAATTGCTTGTTGCAGCTGTGCTGCTAATGGAGGCGTTGAGGCATTTGATGAGGAAGATTCACTTTCATAACATTTATTTAAATTCCCTTCTTTTTTTAATACATTACTTGAACTTGTATTGGCAACAGATTCATTTTCAACTTCGTGTTGGGTTGTTGTACTTGAGGTAGAGGAACAACCTTTCCCTTTCATTAAACTTTTGTATTCAGTTATTCGAACCTGCAAATAATTAATATTTACAATTAAATTTTCAGAATAAATCAGAATTTTGTTTAAAAATCAGAATCTCGAACAACCACAATTTTAAAAACCAGAATTCAAGAAAAAATCAGAATTTTCAAAAACTCAGAAATCTCAAAAAATCAGAATTTTTAAAAATCAGAATTGTTAAAAAATCAGAATATTTAAAATCAGAATTCCCAAAAAACCAGAATTTTCAAGAAAACCAGAATTACAAGAAATCAGATTAAATACGTTTGAAACAGAATTAAAAATCAGAATTTTCACAAACCAGAAACAACTAATTATTTTAAAAAATCAGAATCTTCATTAAAATCAGAATATTTATTCACCTTTTTCCCATCAACAATACAAGTTCTTTTAGGCCTCGGTCTGTAACGGTAATCTGGATGTTGTTCCATATGTTGTTTAGAAAGACGAGATTGTTCATCGTAATAAGGCTGTTTTTCTCCATTAGACATAGCCTTCCAACGAGAACCCAAAATTTTTGAAATGTTGCTGTTGTGCATGTCTGGATTTTTCTTTAAAATTTTTCGGCGTTCGTCTCTAGCCCAAACCTTTAAAAAAATTGAAAACAGTAAAAAAAAATAAAAAGATTTTGAATTAAAAATCGGGTCAAAAATATAAAAAGTTTTAGCATTTTTAGCAAAAAATCAGAATTTTATTAAAATATTGAAATCAGAATTTTTGTAAAATTCTGAAACATTCTGATTTTTAATCTTAGGTTTTTTTCAATTTCTGATTTAAAAAAAAAATTCTGATTTGTACTAAAATCAGAATTTTAAAAAAAATTTAAAAATCAGAATTATTTAGAAATCAAAATTTTAATAAAATAATGAAAATCAGAAATTTTTCTAGAAATCAGAATTTTATTTTAAAAAATCAGAATTTCCCCTCACCATAAAAGCATTCATTGGCCTCTTAATATGATTTGAAGATTTAGGCCCTCCATCCATTCCAAATTTCCCCACACCATTATGATTATTATTTGGGGATGTTGCCCCCTCATTTAAATAATGTTTTGATGAACGTTTTGTTTTATTATAAGTTTTTGTAATTTTAAAATTATTTGTCAAATTTTCTTCCTTCTCGTCTTCCTCCATTTTTGGTGAAGATAAATGTCCGTTATTTTGTTGTAAATTATTTTCTTCTTTTAATTCAGTCATTTCAATATTTAAACTAGGCGATTTTATTATATTTTCATTTGAATCTTCATCCATTTTTGTATTATTTGGAATTTGTTGAGGAAGAAATGAATTGTTGTTGGTCTGAAACAAGGGGAAATTTTTTTTTCAAAATTTTACGAAAAATAAGATCCCTTCATAGGTCTCAGAAAGAAATTTCTCAAAAAATCTCTCAACTGTCACAAAAACTATACCTTAGAAGGAGAAGAAGGAGAAGAATTTGTTGTTGTCAAAGTTGTAGCAGTAGCATTTAAAGATGTCGGAGAAGGAAAATTATTATTAATTTGTTGTTGTTGTTGATCAACAAATTTATTTGTAAAAAATGGAAGAGGAGTCTGTGGATATGCTAACAAAAAGGCCTTGATCGCCGCAGGCAAAAATAAATTAGAAGCAGCAAAAACATTTGTTGCATTGTTGTTGTTATTAATTGTTGTTGTTGTTGCTGGTGTGTCAAAAGCTGTAGAAGTGGGCGGAGAATTAACTAAAACACTGTTTTTTTAAACTTGAAACTTTGTTTTAGTAAATGAAAACAAGGAAGAGAATAAGTTGGGAAGTTTGTTTGTTATTCTTCTCACTTAGTTTAAGCTTGAAACTTAAAAACAAGCTGAAAACTTAAAAACAAGTTGGAAACTTAAAAACAAGTTGGAAACTTAAAAACAAGTTGAAAACTTAAAAACAAGTTGAAAACTTAAAAACAAGTTTATTAAAAACAAGTTGGAAACTTAAAAACAAGTTGAA